TTTTATATTTGGAAAAATCATAAAGAGAAAATACTACCCAACTATTGGAAAATATTGGGTAGTTATTTAGACATCATTTGCATATCAAAAGGACCTTACATTAGAAATATATCATATTAACACCGATAGCATTACACTTCATTAAAAGGGACACAACCTTGGTTTCTTTAATCCAATTATTTACAGTCTCAATATTCCAATTAGTTGTTACTTTAAAACAAAGTCAACTCAAACTCTTGTTAATGTTAATTCATACTCTTGTTACCGTAACTAAATAGAATTATGACTTTAGTCGAGCAACACACTATTTGAGTAACCTTTTCACACCTATTCCCTGTGGGATTTGATCGCAACCTTGTTGGGTTACTATATTTGACACCGACCGCCTTACACTATTTCTTAAAGTGTAATTTAATCGTATCAAATTTTGGCGCCGTTGCCGGGGAATACGGTTTTGAAATTACTAAGTAGTGTGCGCTTTACTTTACGTCTTATTCTATTCCATCACACTTTGCTTGTTTTGCTTGGTGTTGATAGGAAAACATGTCTGAATATGGCGATGACGTAGAGGCAGATATGGGAGAAAATCCTTTTGTAGACATCGAGGAGTACATTGAGGATACAAATGCTATTGTACCTCCAGCTGTTGGCGCTGCAACATTCAAAGTGGAACACGGTTTAATCCTTATGCTCAAAGCAGAAGGGTTCTTCAGAAATTCCACCGATGATGATCCAACACAACACCTTAGAAACTTCTTGGGTGTGTGTGCAATGTACAAGCAAAATAATGTCTCTGATGATTCCTTGAGGTTGAGATGCTTCAAGTATTCTCTAGCTGGGAAATGGCTCCAGAATCTGCCACCGAACTCTATCCATTCTTGGCCCGAACTTGTCCGGGCGTTCTTGTCTAAGTGGTTCTGCAAAGTAAGAAGTCTGAGCTGCAGGATAAAATCTTCTTTTTCAAGCAAATACAGGTAGAACAGTTGTGTGAGGCATGGGATCGATTCAAATTATATTTGGTGAGGTCTCCAAACTATGGTTTTCCAGATTCTATGCTATTGGAAAAATTCTATATGGGTTTGGATCCTATGAACCAAGCTATAGCCAAGAATGCAGCTGACGGATCTTTCATGGATAAATCATTCGCAAGGGTGACACAAATCCTCGACAAAATGGCAAAGCATAACCAAGCATGGCACTCCGAGGACACAACAGGTGGAATTAAATATGGTTCCCCTTCCTTGAGCAACATTATCAAGGAAAATCAAGAGGGAGATCAGGTGATTGCAGGGCTCGCTACAAATGTCAATGTGTTGACAAAGATGTTCACCGAGAGCCAAACGAAGAAAGTGAATGCGGTGGAAGATGTGCAACCCTTATCAAATGAGGATTTTGAGGAAGTAAATTATGTCAACAACCCTCAAGGAAGGTATCAAAGGCAACCATACCATGGTCAATGGCAACAAAACCAATGGAGGCATACCCCACGAGGGCAAAGCAACCAACAATGGAGACATGACCAAGGTAGCTCGCATCAAGGAAATTGGAACAACAACAACAACTTTGCAAACCGTAGCTCCAACCCCTATGTTCCCCCAAAGGTTCAATACACAAATCAAGGGTCCTCAAGTGATTCTAAGTTAGAAAGCATGCTTGAAAGAGTATTGCAAAACCAAGAAAAGTCTGACACGTCCATGAGGAACATGACCGAGATTGTTGGCTCTCATACCGCATCCATTCAAAAACTGGAGATGCAAATGAGAGACTTTTCTAGGGAGCAAAACCCAAAGCAAAAAGGGCAACTTCCAAGTGACACTATTTCGAACCCAAAGGGTGGTGGAAATGGTCCAACTTCTCACGTCATGGCAATAACTACTCGAAGTGGGAAGGTGCTACAAGGAGAAATTGAGCAAGCGGTTTTAGGGGAAGAGGCCGAACAAGAAGTTGAAGTGGAAGAGCAAAGGGTTGTTGAAGTTGGAAGGGTTCCGGAAGAAGAGAAGGCGCAAGAAGGAACCGAGAAGGGGTAAAGGAAAAAGTGAAAGAGACATCAAAAGCTCCATCTCCTATTCCTAGACCTCCTCCTTTTCCTCAAAGACTTGCGCGAAGGGTTGATGATAGCAAGCTTGAGAAGTTCTATGACATTCTAAAGCAATTATCGGTGAACATTCCATTCTTGGAAGCTTTTCAAGAAATGCCAGGGTTTGACAAATATCTGAAGGATTTGATCACCAAAAAGAGTACCACAAAGAATGATGAGTAAACATGACTCACCGGGTTAGCTCTATTATTGCCACAACCAAAGTTCAAAAGAAAGAAGACCCGAGAGCCTTTACTATTCCATGCACTATCGGGGCGCATGATTTTGCAAGAGCCCTTTGTGACAATGAGGCTAGCATTAACTTGATGTCGCTCGTCATTTACAAGCAAGCGGGATTAGGGATTCCAAGGCCAACAAGCATGAGATTACAAATGGCCGATCGTTCCATTAAGCGACTGGTAGGAATTGTTGACAATGTGATTGTAAAAGTGGGAGAGTTCCATTTGCCCGCCGATTTTGTAATTCTTGATTGTGCGATTGATAAAGAAATCCCTATCATTTTGGGGATACCATTCCTAGCCACGGGAAGAGCCCTCATGGATTCGGAGCGGAACGAAATTAAAATCTGGGTGAATGATGAAGAAGTCACATTTCAAGTGACCAAGGCTATGAAACTACCCCATGAGTATGAGAGCATTTCAGTGGTAGATATTGTTGATGAGGTAGAAGATGCCATCGAAATAAAAATGGAAGAACAATGCCTTGGTGAGGCATTGGCGGCTATTTTGGTAAACTTTGATGGTGAAGACATGGATGGGTACATGGAGTCGGTAAATGCATTGGAGGGTCTTGGATCCTATACTTATACTCCGACAAAGCTTTCTCTTGACTTGGAGAATAGGGACACACCTCCCGCAAAGCCATCAATCATTGAGCCACCACAACTAGAGCTCAAGCCACTTCCTCCGCACTTAAGGTATAAATTTCTTGGCTCTAATGATACTTTACCAGTAATAGTTTCATCTTTGTTAAATGATATGCAGGTAAACCAATTGTTGGCAGTCTTGAAAGAGCATAGGCAAGCCATTGGATGGACAATTACGGACATCCGTGGGATCCCCGTGGGAATATGTGAACATTAAATCCAATTGGAGAGCGAGACGAAACCAAGTATGGAACATAAATGTCGGTTGAACCCATCAATGCAAGAGGTAGTAAAGAAAGAGATTATCAAGTGGTTAGATGTCGGGGTAGTCTACCCCATTGCAGATAGTTCTTAGGTGATCCCGGTGCAATGTGTGCCAAAAAAGAGAGGCATGACCATGATAAAAAATGATAAGAATGAGCTCATCCCAACAAGAACAGTGACTGGATGGCAGGTTTGTATGGATTATCGGAAGCTTAACAGTGCTACATGCAAAAACCACTTCCCTATGTCTTTTATTGATCAAATGCTTGATCAGCTAGCGGGGAGGTCATTCTATTGCTTCCTTGATGGGTATTCTGGCTACAACCAAATCAACGTCGCTTTGGAAGAACAAGAGAAAATGACTTTCACTTGCCCATATGACACTTTTGCCTTTAGCTGGATGCCATTTGGCTTGTGCAATGCTCCGGCCACTTTTCAAAGATGTATGATGTCCATTTTCTCTGACATGGTAAAGGACTTTCTTGAAGTTTTCATGGATGATTTCTTGGTAGTTGGTGATTCTTTTGAGCACTGTCTTAACAATCTTAGACAAGTGCTTAGGAGATGTGAAGAGACCAACCTTATGCTCAATTGGGAGAAATGTCACTTCATGGTGGACTAAGACATTGTGCTGGGGCACAAGATTTCAAAGCATGGCATTGAGGTCGACCGAGCAAAGATTGAGATTATTTTGAAGCTTCCTCCACCTACCTCCGTGAAAGGTGTTCGAAGTTTCTTGGGTCATGCCGGGTTTTATATGCGCTTCATCAAGGATTTCTCCAAGATCGCTAATCCTATGTGCAAACTCCTTGAAAAAGATGCCAAGTTTGTGTTTGATGAGAAATGCCTCAAAACCTTTGAGGAATTAAGGCAAAGGCTCACCACGACACCTATTATTGTCACACCCGATTGGTCTCTTCCTTTAGAGCTCATGTGTGAAGCCAGTGGTGTAGCCATTGGAGCAATGCTTGGCCAACATCACAACAAATTTCTCCATCCGGTCTACTATGCAAGTAAAACACTCAATGGGGCACAAATGAATTACACGGTAACTGAGCAGGAGCTTCTTGCCATTGTTTATGCCTTTGAGATGTTCTGGGCTTATTTGTTGGGGTCCAAGGTGGTAGTGTACACAGATCATGCGGCCCTTCGCTATCTCATGGCAAAGAAGGATGCAAAGCCGCGATTGATTTGATGGGTCTTGTTGTTGCAAGAATTTGACTTCGAAGTCAAGGATCGTAAGGGAACTCAAAATCAAGTGGCGGATCATTTGTCAAGGCTTGAGGAGGCAGAGATACCAAATGGAGATCTTGAAATCAACAATGCATTCCCGGATGAACACATATTGGCACTATCTAGCACTTTTGCTCCTTGGTATGCCGATATTACTAACTATTTGGTTAGTGACCTTATCCCGGACGGATTGGAATTATATCAAAGAAAGAAGTTTTTGAGAGACTGTCTTCAATACTATTGGGAGGAACCATTCTTGTTCCGTGTTTGTGCTGACAATATTATCAGAAGGTGTGTTCCCGAAGAAGAGGTTATGCCAATTCTCAAGGCACGCCATGACTCACCGATTGGGGGTCATCATGGAGGAAATCGAATGTCGGCTAAGGTTCTTGAATGTGGTTACTATTGGCCTTCCATCTATCATGATTCCAATCAAATGGTCAAAGCTTGTGACCAATGTCAAAGACAAGGTTCAATCTCCAAAAGGCATGAAATGCCAATGCACTTTGTGATGGAGATAGAGATCTTCGACGTGTGGGGAATTGATTTCATGGGTCCCTTTGTAAGCTCTTGCGAGATGAAATATATCTTGGTAGCTGTGGACTATGTGTCCAAATGGGTTGAAGCAATTGCCTTACCAAACAACGAGGCAAGGAGTGTGACCACCTTCTTGAAGAAGAACATATTCACTCGGTTTGGCACTCCTAGAACCATTCTTAGTGACGGTGGATCTCATTTCTATAACAAAGCTTTCTCGCGGATACTTGAGAAGTATGGAATCAAGCACAAGGTAGCCACACCTTATCATCTGCAATCAAGTGTTCAAGTTGAGGTTTCCAACCGGGAGATCAAGAACATTCTAGCAAAAACTGTCAACGCAAATAGGACTGACTGGTTAAGGAAGCTAGATGACGCATTGTGGGCATACCGCATGGCGTACAAGACTCCTATTGGTACTTCTCCTTATTGGTTAGTCTTCGGTAAAGCTTGTCATCTACCAGTGGAATTGGAACACAAGGCTATGCGGGCGTTGAAAAGGTTAAACTTGGATTAGGCTGAAGCTGCAAATTTGAGGTTAACACAACTGAATGAAATGGAGGAATTCCGGTTCCATGCTTATGAAAGTGCAGCTGTGTACAAAGAACGGATGAAGTTTGTCCATGACAAGAAGATCTTGAAAAAAGAGTTCAACTCGGGTGACTTGGTCTTGCTCTTTAACTCAAGTCTAAAATTGTTTCCGGGGAAGCTCAAATCAAAATGGTCCGATCCATTCAAAGTGGTCAATGTCTCTCCTTATGGAGCTGTGGAACTAGCATCAGAAGATGGGTCCCGGACATTCAAGGTAAATGGCCAACGCATCAAGCACTACTTGGGCACAGATGGAGAAAAATATTTGGTGGAGCAGCTGGCTCTAAAAGATGGTCCGTGTCCAACCATTGAGTGAATCCAAAGGAACATCAACTTTATCATGCCGCGACGTTAAATCAAGCGCTTCATGGGAGGCAACCCATGTGTGGTAACATTCTTTTGTTCTTTGAATTTTTAATTTTTGATAGATAGATTTACTTGGGCAATTTAAAGTGTGTGTTAGAGTGCAGGGGGTTCAAAAGATCACAACACTTGGTTGGAATGCATAAGAAAGGGAAGAAAAACCACCGTGTGAAGTTTGCTACAAAGATGCGATCGCATTTTCACTATGCGGAACGCATTTTGGTCGCAAACCAGAGCAGAGAATTTGGCTAAAATTGTTGGTAAGAATGCAACAAGGTGGTGCACTATGAGGACCGCATTTCACTTATGCGATCGCATTGTGCACCGCATTTATCACCTTTTAGCAAGCCAAGTAAACCCACCGCATAACAATTATGCGGTCGCATAATGTGTTATGCGGTGCCCTTCCAAATGCAAAAATGACAGGTAAGTGTCGCATTCTCTCATCCCCCCCACAGTCAAAACAAAACAAAAAAATAAATAAAATAAAAACAAAAGAAACAAAAAAGAAAAGAACGGAAAGAACAGAGAAGAAAACAAAGAACGAAAAAAGGGGGGAAAGCACGGCTAAGTAATCAAATCCTTCACACGACGGAAACCCATTTACATTCTCCATAGTTATTACATTTGACTTACTGGTATGTGCCTTTGCCCTAATTTTCCAGTCTGAGGTTCTTGTTTCTTTCTTCTTTATGTTTGATCTACAAAGTTTGGTTATGTGTTGCTTTTCGTAGTTGTTTTTCCATAGAATGGTCGTTTCTGGGTTGGAAATATAGATGGGTTAATGGGTAGTGAGAAATAGGCCCGCCATTATTGAAAGGATGATTTGACTCCTGAGGACGACGACATTTGCGGCCCGCAAAGTCAAAATACGGTCCGAATTTTGGCCGCATATTAAACCCTAAGTCTCCTAAGGACGATGATGAATGCGGTGACTTTTGAGGTCGCATAATTGATATGCGGACTGTAAAGTTACCGTAAATTGAAACATACAACCCAGTTATGAACTCTGCCATTTGCGATTGTTTTGCGATCGCATTCCCCACTTTGCGGTGGCATTTGCGATCGCATTTTGTTGTGTATGTTGTGAGAAAATCAGTTCTGCGATGGTTATGTGGTCCGCATAGTGGTTATGCGATCACATAACCCACCACAGACTGAGACCCATAGAGCCCAAGCAAATTTGCGACGCGTTTGCGGTCCGCATTGTGGTTATGCTACCGCACAACATGTCGCATTTTCATCTTTTTCATTGAATTCCTCTGATTCTTCTCAGTGTTGCTTATGTTATCACTCATACTTCACCATTGTGCAAATATGGCTCCCAAGAAGCCTGCTTCATCTGCCCAGAAAAGACCATCCTCCAGTCATCACAAGTCACAAGCGAAGCGGTCACAGACGAAATCTAATGAGCCACGCCCCTCCCAGTCTGATGAGGAGGAGGTCTTGCCCGAAGTTAACTTACAGGTTGAGGCAAGAAGGAAGCAAGGAGATGATTTCCACCTCCGCTTTGGGGTATAGGGATCCAGGGAACTGTACAGAGAAGGGCTCATCAAACGAAAAATCCTGGGCGAGAAGCAATTGAGTTTGAATGGGTTACAAGAGCAGTAACCCCACATCTTAGAGAACATAAAAACAAGGAGATGGGAGTGCTTTAATGAACCACCTACTGAGTATAACGATTCCCTCGTCCATGAATTTTATGCATCATATGGGGCCTCCAGGACTAAGCACCACAAGCGTAACAAAATTTTCACTGAAACTGTACTTGTTCGGGGGAAGACTGTGTTTTGCAATAGTGAGGCCATTAATGAGTTGTACTTCCCTGGCTGGAGAGCAGGCACAGCTGAATACGATGCCAAATTTGCAAACAGGGAAAATGAGTGTGGTTGGATTGCTTCGGTGATAGCAAAGGGGACCCCTTCTTGGATCAATCCTGGGCATAAGATATACAAGGAGGATCTCTCAAGAGAGGGTCAATTCTGGCTCAGATTTCTTACTTCTAGATTGATACCGTCCCGGAACGAGACTGACGTAGCCCTTGAAAAGGCTCTTATCATTGCATGTATCATGGCGGGAATCAAAATTAATGTAGGAGCACTGATCTTCCAAGAGATAGAGATCCGGGCAACGCAACATGCCACTTCACTTCCGTTCCCTTGTTTAATCACAACCCTCTGTAAAGCTGTGAAGGCCCCTATCATGTAAAACACTGACAGGACAGGGAAA